TTAATCTCTGATGCAATCTAAAAGTAAAAACTTCCTCAATTAAATCTCAAACTCCCCACAGTTTAAGATTTCTCTAACCACACCTTCTTACATGTGATCTGTTTGGAACCAGAACAGCATTAACTCATCATTTTCATAAAGTTAGGCCTCATGCAGACAGTGGTAAACAGCAGCAGTTTTTTTACAATAATGGCACAAGTGTAATATGCTTCATGCACAGTAACACAAAGCTCATATATGCGTGTGGCCTTTATTGTGCGCAGTTGCAAAAAGACGGTTCTACACTTCATATCTGATTGTGCCTTTAACGCCCTTCTGGCTCTCAACAGACAATATGGCTATGATGTAAGCCATGATATACTGAATGACGGCATCCCTCTGAGGCTAGTGATGAAAAGTTTGCTTGGCACACCCGTCCCAATCACCTTGGACTCATCCTTAGGCTTTTAATCACTCTTGTCCATCCATGTTTCCTATTCCTAAATGCTCCAAGACATTTCTGGGAGTATTAAAGGCATCAAACTTTCTGAAAAAGAAAATTTTATTTGGTAGGGAAGAAATAAATCATACACACAAGCTTACTGTAAATCCTGAACTTTTTACAATGGGAAACCTTCACGTTTTGTAGTCAACAGCCATTATCGTAGCGAGAAACTTTCCTGAATGGGAAAAAAAGAGTGCTCTGTCTTTATATTGCAGCTTAAAACATTTGAAGTTGCCCTTTGTTTGATTCGTCAAAAGTCTTTGGAAGTATAATTAAAAGATGGTGAAAGAGGAGGTCTTCCTTTTGTAAGGGTTTCTTTCTGATGGTGATGAGCTCACAATCACAGAAATCCCTTCCCTATCAGTAGTATATCTTGATTGTGTGTAATTGAGCAAAGCTGAAGAATCGGACAGAACCATATTAACACTTTAATTGGAGGTCGATGGAGATATATTGCTCTTATCCTGTCAGTTGGCCCATTCACAAGGACAAGCCTGTTTCATATTTGCCTATTTATTTGAAATTAATTTAGTACCAAATATTTTGTACTTTTTTTGAAATACTGAGTGAGTTTCCCGAGATCTCAAAATTTGAACCAACTTATCACAAAATGAACTTAAAAGCCAGTAACAGTCATGACATGTAAGTTGCAATTTTTTGGACAAATTGCCTGTTTTTGTGCAAAGAAAATTAGGTATATTTCAAAAATTCATTGTTATGATTAATTTGTTAGGTTTGTGGCTTGAAACTTGTGCAAATCTACACCACATGCTAGCTTGGTACAAGTTTCAAAGCTGCACCAATTTCTAGCTTACCTTAATTAACAAATGTAACATCACTTACCCAGACCTGTAGGTGTCTGCAGAAGTTCATAATTAATGACAATGATAATTTAATGATATATCAATAAAAAATGACAATTGGAGAACAATACTTTTGTTTAAATAGTACATTGATAGTACATTAAATCATCTGCAGCCTCCAACATTGGTCTCTTTGAGGCTCCTAATTATCAGCTTTGATGTGAAACCCTTGATCAAGCCTCCCAGTGACAAAGTATTCCTTACCGGTAATCCTTCTCTAGCAGCCTTTTCACACACAGCTAAAATTCTATAAACATGACTAGTATAAACGTGTTTCGAACGTGTTTAAACTAATCACGAGCCTTTCACACACAGAAATTTCGTTGCGATCGTTAATAGTTTCGTGATTAACTACTGCTCGTAAAATGCGCAGTAGTGCCATTGCGCATTGAAGGTCATGTCATATCAATCAAAGCGCACGCTCCATCCAGTTTAAACACGTTTAAACACGAATTTCCTTTCACACACAAAATGTCAAGCTCTCTAGATACGAAATTCGTATCTGCAGCCTGCTTTTAGGGGCGTATGGATCGCGACTTTGTATCTATCCCAACATCGTATAAACGATGTTCACACTGGGAAATTTTATCTATAAACATGTTTAAAACTGTTGAGTGATTCTAATCATCTCTAGATACGATGAATTTTAGCTGTGTGTGAAAAGGCTGTAGCTCCCTTACAGAGACTTCCTTACCCCTGGACCCAATCACCATTGCCCATGCGTGTTTCCTCTTCCTAAAGCAACGTGATGACAGAAAACACTTCCCTATTGGATAAATAATGACTAAGAACACTAGAGAAGAAAATATATAGCAAAGCACCTTTTCATCTTTCTTTGTGTTTAACCACTACTTGTGATTTGTGCACTAGCATCCACATGGGGACGAGGTACCTTCTAAAGAGCAGCCCCTCCTGATTCCCCCCCCCCCCAAAAAAAAGCGCCCATGACAAGCATAAAGAAATATATGATTTCCACCTTTATATCTAGCTGAATAAGAAGAAATAGAAATAGCAATATAAGTAATTATCAAGAAAAGTTTCCAAGTTTACGATGTATGATATATGTAAGTATTAGAAGGGCTAACAAATAATATGGACCTGTCAACCTTTGCAGCTAACTTAAAAAAGTTAGCTTCCAGGGGAAAATGTTCTTTTTCCAGTTTTCAGTCATGCTTCAACTGAGTCTAGAGTGTAAGACTATCACTTAACCCTTTGGAGATAACAAACAGAGGATGGAATAGATTAGTCTACATACACCAAACCCAGTTGACCTTATTGCCAAATATTGGGTTTTATAAGTTGATGACATGGATCCTAATCAAATGATTGGTTGAAAGTGTACACGTGACCAGGCAATTATTTTTGCCTAACGTGTAATTTGAATAGTGACCGGTCATTATCCAATTCTAATGACACGTCATTAGCAAAATCATGTTATAGAACATCATTTTATATAACAAATAAAACATAATCTTACAAAACAAATAATACACATCATTTTGTTCAGGCATGAGTAAAATTACCCACACTCGGTACCTTCAAAACAGTCCAAACACCCTCGGCTACCGCCTTGGGCATGTTAGACTGTTCCAAAGGTAATTCTTACTAATGCCCTCACTGCTGTATATTATTTGTATACTAAAGTCATTCTGCTGGGAATCTAGGCTAATACTAAAAGGGGTGGTCAGGTGGCACTCCAAAGTCATCTTTCAGTCACATTGAGCCCCCATCCCCCACATATCCCCTGGTCGGAAGCCCCCTCTCTCACCTAAGGTGCTAAACTCTTCCCCCTTGGCTTCCTCCAAGGGACGGATATCTGGCCACTTGGGATGCCCTGGAGGTGATGAGAGGTTTATATGGATTACCATGGCAACTGCCTCAGTAAGGTAAAGTTTAAGGGCATCCAAGGAACTTCTGCATCAATATTTTGATGATGGGGTCATCTTCGTTATCTCTGCTTGTTGTTTCTTGAACCTGCGTAGGTCTGTGGATTAGGGTTTGGAAGAGTTGCCAAAGAGTTACATACTGTGTCAGGGCATTGTACATGTAACTTTAATACAATGGAGTCACAGACCCACTGTCACTATGAACATGACTGACAAAGAAAGCGGACAAAATATACAGTTCCTCAGGTAGACAAAGGAACATCCCTTCACTGCTCTTATGTAAATATGTGTGGAACAGCTAGGTGTCACATGCATATTCACTTTTTACATAATAGCAGTGAAGGGATGTTCCTTTGTCTACCTGAGGAACTGTATATTTTGTCCGCTTTCTTTGTCAGTCATATTCATAGTGTGTATTAACCCATGAGCTACCAAATTCTCACTTTCCCATAGGCTTTATACACGAACCATCCGGTTACAGTAGGCAATGGGTTAACTTAAATCTGTAACGGTAAGATACAGTGCTACGAAGGACAGCACCTATCACTAATTGTGAATATTGAAAAACTCTCTTTCATAATCATGGAAGGGATCAAACTTCAAAACTAAGATTATTGACTTATTTCACCAATATATTTGTTTGGAGTTGGAAGGGCATTTATTGTGCATGAAGGTATATGACTTAAAACTTGTTTTGAGCTCCAAATGGGAGTTATATTGGATTAAGTAAAGGTTTTGAAGTTTGGGAGATAATTGCAAGAAAAGGAACATGATTTTACAGGAGAAGAGATGGAGCAGAGTAAGTTACAGACTGAAAGAAAGATGAGAAATGCACCCCCTCACTCCTCAAAAAAAAGGAGAAAACTAAAATGAAGAGAGGAAACAAAATAGAAGAAAAAAAAGCGGTTAATAAAATGTAAAATTGAGAAGTAAGATATATGAAACAAAGAGATACATATGGGTGATTCCTACTTTTTTAACTATAAAAACATAAGAACTTGGACAACCAGAATACAGTAAGCTCTTCATTTGATCACAAATTTGTGTTATATGCTCTATGCTGTATTGATTGATATGAGTGCATTGCCATGGTGACTGTATATAGGATACAAGCCTTATAGATCAGACAGGCAGGATCTAAAAGAAAGATTCCAGAAAAAGGATAGAAAGGATTTGAAAAAGTCAAGGCGGGAGAAACAGATACCCTGAATGGAGAGAAATAACCAGTCTCAATGAAACCTCTCCACTAATCAATGCAGCAGATATTATATGAATAATGATTTTAGTGTAGCCATTAATTATTGAAATCGATTGTGGAAAATTATGTTCAATGGTGTAGAGGGACCTGAAATCTATTTGCCGTTCAGTGAATTGTTTTGAAATCAGCAGTTTTTTTAGCGAGGCTGGTCTACCTTTTCACTGTTTTGATAGTCACATTCACTATCATAGCTACACACTGACCCAACATTTGATTCTGTGTAATTGCTCCTGGTGGTATTTCATCACAGGTATAGGGTTAGGTTTGAGTTTACTGTTTTAGGTTAGGTTTAGGGTTAGGGTTAGGTATAGTGTTGCGTCCAGGGGTAAATGCGGTAAGTGTGAAACATGGACGAGGAATGTAATAGTTGCATTAACAAGGATGGTGCAACCTAGCTATACAAATCACGTCTGTGTGTGTTGGTTATAATACTTACATTGAAATTTCATAATTATTATTGAATTACAAGGTGTATTGTTTTTTTCTTCTCTTCTTTTGTCCAATTACAGGGTCACTGTGAGTCATAAAGTACAAATCACAAGCAAAGGAAAGGGTAAGATTTTGTCTCGTTATATATATTTTTTTTGAAAAAATATTTACATGGACATCTTATGCTTGATAGTTTTCATATATAAGCTATTTGTTTTAAACACCAAATAATTAATATTTGTTTTGGCATTCCTCCATTTTCTCATATAAATTGTTAAAAATCTGCTGATGTGTGGAAATTTCAAAATATTTGGGGTAAATGCGGCATGGCACTGAGCAAATCTTAAAATTGGTTTTTATTTGTTTATAAAATTTAAGTTTGAAGCTATTGATATGAAGGTTGCACAATGAAAATATCAGTTTGCTTTTTGTCAATATCATGCATCTAAATGTACGTATTCTTCTTTTCCCCAACCATAATGATTGCTGCTCAATATTCAAAGTAAAGATATACCGGTATTGTATGCTGCAAAATATAATTCTTTTCCCTATTCGGTAGATAGGCTTGCAATTTGTTTGAGATTGTGATCAAATAATCCCAAGAAGAGTTATTGCTTTTTTCAATAATTGGATTAAAATTATCAATGAAAAGACCTGAAAATTAGTATTTTCCAATCTCAAAAGGTTAATCTGGAAATCATAAAATGCTGCTGAAGTTGAATCAAATAATGCCTAGGGGGACTTCCCAGTTTAGATTTTGGTTTAATTTTTTTGTGAATGAGAACAGTAGGACACATGGATTCTTGCCAGTAAGTGCACCTCTACAAATCAGCTAAAGTTAACAGCGAGCTGAAAATTTCATTTTTCTTTCCTGAAGCCTGGAGTGCCTATGCCTGTTTCTGTCTTTCTCTATATCTTTTCCACCAGTTTTTAAAACTTTTGTTCATCTTTAATCAATTTTGCTATATTTCTTCTGTATTATTTTTGTTTCTTTTCGTCCATGTCTCTCCCTTAATTCATAATTTGGTTGCATATCTGTCTTTCTTTTTGTTAAGTTCTTTTTGTGTCAATAGTGAAGTAGCTCTATAGCCTAGGTATGTCTCCATCAGCTCGAGATTGCCAAACAGCCCGCTATTTCTGATTTGGGAAATAAGTTAAAAATCGCGTCTTCGTCTCGAAACTTGAAACTCAAGCTTGGAAATTAGCTCGGGATATTTTGCTCAGCGTTCGCACATAATGTGAATCTTCGGGCTAGTGAAGACGCACCAGACAAATAGCGGGATATTTTGCAAACTAGCCCAAGATATGATTATCTCTACCAAATATCCCCCTAATTGCAACTTCGGGCTGATCATGAAGACGCAAATGAACTGGATAATTTGCGATCGGGTTGATTGAAATAGCGGGATATTTGGCAATCTCGAGCTGATGGAAACATACCTAGGCTATAGAGCTACTTCACTATATGTCATGCCAGGGAATTTACCATTGCCTGCTTAATACTAGTCTAGGGAGCGTGTAACATTATTTATTTTTCACAGGAACTCTGTTTTTAGGTATCCATAAACAGACTCCACACAAATTGTTTTTGGAGAGGTCTGGATCGAACTTTTTACAGGCTGTATTTTTGAACCCCATAAATTTGTAAAACTTTTGATGCTTTTTAGTTTCTAGCCAACCAGAGCTAGTCCCCCCCCCCTTCTCTCTCTCTCTATCTGTCTCCTTGTATCTTTTCCTGCTATGGAGCTGTACACCATACAAATCTCCATACTCATACCCCAACCACTGCATCTATACACAGTAACTCTTTTCTTGGCATCCCGCTGAAGTACTCTCCAACCGTGCTCCGAGTCTGACCGCAGCATGAGTTCTCTATACATGAAACGCAATTTTGCACAATTAGGAACGATTAGCCAGCCCCTATTCAATTTCAATCGCCTCCCGGGCAAAAGGGTGTATGCCAACCTCATTTTGTTGGATGTCTTTCACGCAGTACCATTTCCCCCTCTCCTCAATTCTTTTGTCAGATGCTGTTACATGTGTATATGGTTTTGAAATCAATCTCTTTTGTCTCACCCCTGCCATAGAACTACCTCAATTTTTGAGAGACATTTCTTGATGGAAACTCAAATTGGAGAAAAGGGGATAAACAGTGTATAATTATTTGATAGAAAATTGAATTATCACTATGTTATTACATGGGATTTTTATTGGAAATACTTGTTTAGGTGTTCATTGAATAACCAGATAATAGCACTGTCCATTTTGTCCTATTTGAAAGAGCTACCATTATTTTTTATTTATTTATTTATTTATTTATTTATTTATTTATTTATTTATTATTTATTTATTTATTTATTTATTTTTTATTTATTTATTTTTTTTTTTTTTGGGGGGGGGGGGGGGGGCTAAATGCGAATTCAGAGGGTTTGTTTTAGTCACTATGAAAAAAGTGAAGATTTGATATTGCTTTTGCCAGTTCAATATTAACATTACTCGTTAGTCATTACTAAACAATCCAACAAGCAAATGCCACAGTCTTTAATATCTTTATGACACATACTAATAAGAAGTAGAAAATCAAAAGAAAGAGAATTTCATGGGCATTGTACTGATACACATTGATTAGATAAAAGTATAAATAGGATAAATAATTGCAATTGTGGAACAATTGCTTTGGTAATTGAAAGATCCTATTTCAGCAGGGATAAGAATGCATTCATAATAACGACTACTGAACAATGGTGGTACATATATCAGCTATTGTGCTTTTTCTGCACTTGCATGTATATACTTTCTCTGTGCTTGCGTGTGACTGATCAGAATCTCAGTACATTTTCAGATCTGAACATTTATGTGATGCAGAGATTGCATGATAAGGACACATCCATCATCATCATCAGTGATTGTATCTATTGATCGTGATACCGCTTTCACACCCCAAGATGGATAAGAAAATCATGTCTTTCAATTTTAAAGGTAATTTCATTTTCAAGTTTTGATAGCAGAATTGCATTTGAGAGATAATTTTTAAGAGTCTGCAATCACGTAATAAATTACGAATGCATACATTCATAATGAAGTTTTTTTCAGAAAGTAACACCAAAATGTGCTTAAAATGACAAGTACCTAAAAAGCACCATCATAGATATGCTTGTACATTTGTGGGAACTCCAATCAACTGATTGTTGACAAGGCCGAAACTTCCAGAGACCACAGTTCTATATATAAAGACCGATGCTTTCGGTCTCATGGACCCTAAGGTGTAAGTGGATTCATGAGACCATTTTTTCAGTCTAATGCTTTGCATCCACTAATTTGGGACAATCAACTGTCCCCTAATCAACAAGGATGTTTCCACCATTTTGTGCTTTTTAAACAGCTATGATGCAACTTTCTATAAACAAATTATTAAGCAAGTACATTTACAATTAATCAATAGGTTTTAAACATGCTTTTGTTCTATAATTTGAAAGATGTTTTTGTTTAACCAAGAGACTACCTTTAAATTATCCCTATGAGTGTGGTTCAATAAATGTATGAACCTTGCAGACCTCTGTATGACTTTTCAGTTTTCGATCAAAAGAACCTAGTCTTGAAATAGCTAGGGAAGGAAATTTGAATGGATTTGTAGAGGAAAGCTGAGAATAGAATGGAGGAAGAACAATTTCATTTATCTCAAATCGTTCCCCGAAATAGTCTTCCTATTGCTGACTATCATGATTGATGTATGTTTTTTTGACTGTTCAGACAATAGGGAACATGAATGTTCATATGCAAGAAAAGAACAGCTGGATTTGACATTATTATACAACACAATATCATTGATTTGCGATCATTTGCCCTTGGGTCTTGAACTTAGAAAAGTAGATTGAAAAAAGATTTATAAAATGACAGCCACATATATTTATGGATAAACTACTAAATTGATTGATTTTCATTGGATATTTGGAATTGGAGAGAATATTACTTATGAATTGGTTAGAACCAAAAGAATAAGATGAACAAAGTTTTCTTGGTACTCTATTTTTGATTTGTAACAAATCAGTCAAAGCTTTTGCGGTACAATGAAAATTGCTTTGAAAAAACCCTAATATGTCTGATCTGCTTGTATGTAGAATCAAAAATACCAAAGTGAACTTTTCTTCAGAAGTTGACCATATTTTAAAGATAGTCATATAATCAGACATTTGCTATGCTTGCCCTTCAGAGAATCTACTTGTATTAAATGAAAAGAACTTGATAGGAAAGTTGCAGAGATATTGATGAGGATGAATTGATGTGAGTGTGCATGGATCAAAGGAGGGAGAAAGAGAGAAAGAGAGAGAGAGAGAGAGAGAGAGAGAGAGAGTGAGAGTGACAGAGAAAGAAAGAGAGAAAAAAGATTGAAAGAGTAAGAGAAGAGAGATACACACAAAGTGAGAGAGAGAGAGAGAGAGAGAGAGAGAGAGAGAGGGAGTGTGTGTGTGTGTATGTGTGAGTGAGTGAGTGAGTGAGTGAGTGAGGGAGTGAGGGTGGGGAAGGGGTGAGATAGAACGAGGTAATGTCGAAAAGAAGGAAAAATCAGAATATTCATTCACGTACACCAATGGAATACAAAGTGAATATCCAATACCTCTTCTGCCCCCAAACGTCAAAACATTCTCGGCAGGTAATCTATCTTAGGATAAGCCATTTTTATGTGGTTCAAGTGCACTCTTTCACAGTGACAAAGCACCATGTGCACCTTGTTAAATACATCATAGTCTTGTGATGGTGAGTTTAGGTGAGAAAACGAAGAAAAAGGGAATAATTTCATAATGTTGAATCCATAGATGGTTACATTACCAGGCTGCTGATGCTGTCAGTATGATTCTATATTGATCCCTTTTTTCCTTGAAACTCTGACATAACAGAGTTATCTGTATTGCATCATTTTTCAATTGTTGTAGCTCATAAATTCAAAAGAGAATTGAAGGTCTAAACCTAATTTTCAATGCAAAATTATGAAAAATAATATTTTTGATAACAGCCCCCCCCCCCCCCCCAATGAGTATTACAAGACACAGTAGAAAGGAAAAACATCTAGATTCGTTTGGATTTAGGCAAATTTCAAACAAATGTTTGCAATTATTTGAGTTTAAT